TGTCTTGCTGAGCTCCTTATCCCCTTCCTCTTCCTCTTCTCTCCATTGCTCTGTTGACCTAGGCAATACCATAAGCTTGGCAATCACTGTCAGGAGACATGTGATATTGTAGAAAGAATAATCATAGAGCTCCAGCTGCAGAGAATGGAAAGCTAGACCCTGTGACTGAACAAAATCTGTTAAAGTGAGAGCTGAGTGCTTCTGAGCATGAGGAAGGGAGACTCTGGTATTTCAAGATTAGATACTTGCTGAAATGTGAATGACAATCTAAGTGATTTGAATAAAAATTGTCACTAGCATGTTCTGACCAGCAGAGATTGATTAATAGCTTGCTTTCCAGACCAGCTGCCCATGTGCCGGTAGGTAGACATAAGGGGAAGGATGTGATAAATGAGGGTATAAGTGATTGAGACCCTATTACTATGTTTCTGCATGATTAAAATGAGACACTCACTTAAAATTCAGCTGTCCATCACAGTACCAGGAATAGAGCCATGATGCCTTCATTCAGACAGAAGTTGTAATAGGACCTGTCATGGATTCTGCAGCGCTCTTTTATTAGATAGACTCCCATTCTAGGGTCTATGCCCTGGCACAAAGGTGCAGCATGCTGGTCCCAGAAGAGGATGACTAATGACAACTTTCCTGAGATAGGTAAGCTGCATTCTAGGACCAGTTCTCTAATGTTCAGGTCCTGTCTGAGGATGGAGGTATCCTGGATCATGACTGGCTCTCCAGTTGCAGCAGAACTCTGGTGCTCTTCTGCCCCTATTACTTATGATATTTTTTTCTGCTCACAGCTGCAGCATGATCGGCATTGGCTGGCCCACCTGGGTAGATTGATTATTATCCTGTACTTTATGCTGTCTTTCAGGGTTGGGGGCAAGCAGTGTTTATTAATAATAACAACACTAAAGCAGTATATGAGTCAGTATTCCTAACTCCAGTCATTGCCTCCTGTTCTTCATAAGGGACCATGACTGGCTCCACTCTGAGCTTTTCTTACAGATGTCTCAGCAAATCAACTTCTGGAGGAAGCATCTAAAAGCCCTCCTGGCTTCCCTTTGTACTACCAACTGGTACAACATGAGCTGTCTTGGACATCCTCACAACCTGGTCTAGGAAAAAACATGGTTGAGATCCCACTTCATCTGTACCATTGGTGATGGCATGGGTCAGATGGAATAGACAACTCAAAGCAGTGCCTCTACACCTGAGAATCGAGCTGGACGCAATATATCGGCACTGTATCGCCAGCCCTCACCAAGGCTATGTACCCCCGTAATGCTATTTGAGTGATGCTTAGCGGTCTGTACTTCAAATAGGGCATTGCCTATGGTAATATGGTATTTAGGTTTGAGTCAAGAGAGACCATTGGCCTCCCATTTTGGAATTGCCCTTGCCCTCAACTCCTAGGAGCAACCTAGTTCTCTGGTTACCCCAACACTGATAGCATCAACAACAATGGACCAACTCTTGGACTATCTAAAACAGCAGAATACATTGATAGGCCTGGTCTTTTCAACCAACCAAATTCCTTTTGGAGACTCCAATGGAGTCTCAGCTGTTTGCAGTGACCATGGCACATCAAAGTAGTGTTTTGACATGGAAGGTGGTAAGCACCAGTAGTGAAATGGATGTTCTGGCATGTCATATCCTTTATCCTTATCTCATACGCCAGTCGGTGTCTCTGATGCAGCTAGAACTGGTCTCAGTGCTTATGCTTTTGGTGTAGCCTGTGCTGGAGGAGGCAAGGCAGCCAGTGTCAAGACATGGTCCAGCAATGCAGACTGTCCTTTGAAACTCTAGGAGGCTCTTGGGCACAAGGGTTACCACTTTGCAGTGCTAGTAAATCCCATTGGGAACTCCTTGTATTTCATGAATAAATATGAGTTTAAACTGTGGATCCTCTCCCCAAATAGTAACAAGAGATTTAAAAAAAAAAAAAACCTTAACAGTAGGTGTATGGAGACCTCCAGAACTCAAGTGTAACTATCCTGTGATGTCAGAACTGCAGCAGTGAAGACAGTTGTCGCTTCACTGATGTTTGAAGGCTTGCGTGGCTGCATGAATCGAATTAATGTAGAAGTTTGAGGAGCTGCTGTATGCCAAAGGATACCTTTAGGGGGGAAAAGACAGAGGCTAGTGTCATGAAAGCCAATGTGATGAGTAGCACCCTTTGTGTTCTCTCCACCGCTAATGATTAACATGTGGCAATCTGGAAGCAGCTATAAATGGTGAAGTAAACTTCTTAAGAAAGAGACCTTTCCACATCAGGATCCTGTATGGTATATAGAAGGCAGAGAATGGTCACATCAGCAAAATTATTGCACAAGTCCTATTAAAAAACAAACAAAAAAATCTTTCTAACCAAACCAAAAGTTAGAATACTTTTAATTGGATTTTTGCAGTAATTTTGCAGATGTGGTCATTCTCTGCCTTCTTTAAACCACAGAGAGGGCATGGGGCTGAGTGTGAATTACACATTCACCCACTTGTGCTTGCAGGAGTACAAGTATTTGCACCTCCAAAAATAATTTTCCAGTATGCAAGTCCTATTCAATGTATTGAATAGTTAGTTCTTCAATATTTGAAATATTTTAAAAACTTAATCCATGTCTTGCTAAAGAAAACCAAAGTAAAAGAGGCCAAATACCCTTGGAGAAACTTGGCCATGATGAGAAAATGTAGAAAATCATAATATGTTTATATCCATATCCTTATGCAATCTAAACCATAGCAGTATATGGGAAAGTACAGATGGCTGCCACCCTTATCCTTCTATGGTATGTAACACAAATCTCACTGTTACTCAACTTAAAATGGAAGCTAAAACGTCACAGGACTGTTTATTATTTATGGTTTACCAATATGTAGTGCTTTAGATACATGTTAAATGTATATAGACAAATTGATATTTGTGAAGGTGAGTGCAGAGACAGACATGCATACCCAGCATACCATGAAGCATGTAGGTATTGAACATTTAATGCTGAACACTTATTAGGATCCAAAATGAAGAAATAATCAATGAATGGTCTGGCAATTGTTACATCACTAGACTTCAAAAATAGATCTGAGTATCTTCATGTCTGTGAATAAGAACAGCTCAAAACCATCAATTAATAAAGTAGTTGGTTATCACTAAAGTGCTGAGGAATTCCATTTTACCTGGTTTGTATCTCCTTTGGGTCTGCCTCCCATGCTACTTCAAGATTTATTATGTTAAGCTGCATCGTTGCCTTGGGAGCTGTGTCCAAATTAGCAGCATAAACGTGTGGGTATGTCCCTCCTTTTCCCACAGACCCACGTTCTGCCAGAACGGTCCTCAAGCTAGTTGCCCTTTGCCCAGCCCACCAACGCAATCAGCCCTAACCCCTTTCTTTTCATCACCTCTGCCCTTATAATAGTTATGTTATAATAATTGCTTACAATGTACAGAGTCCATCTTCAAAGCACTGCAAATGTATAAGCTAAGGAATTCCCCTTTCTGCTATGGAAAGGCAGTGAAGTCTAGAAATGTGAATAAATTCAGTATAATGTACTAAGCTTTCAGCTTTGTGGCATTTCTTGCTTCTTTGCATGTTTTCCATTTCTTTTGTCCTTTGTCATCATCCATCTGCTTTCAGGTTTTCCCATTTGTTGCTCTCTTTCCCTTTCTGCCTTGTGCTCTCAGTTTTCTATTCAACTGTCTGTCTCTCTCTGTTCCTCCTCCGCCCTGAACAAATCACACTTCCCAGTTTTGCTTCTCCCTTTCTTTCACTCTTCTTGTAATCTAGGCTCTTGCTTTCACACATGTTCCAGTGTATTTCCCGCACTCGCTTGTCCTCCTGTTATTGACCAGCCCTCATTTTCCATCCGTTCATTGTCTGTCCCCGTTTCCTCCCTATTTTGTTTCCCTGTTCCCTCTTCTCCTGCCTTTTATCCTTTCTTCTGTCCCTCTTCTTCTCTTCCCCTCTATCTTTTGTACTGCCATTTAATCAGCCGCCTCCGAGATATATATATATCCAGAGGGATCGCTAATGGATTCCTGTTCTCTCTTGCACCCTCTTCTGCATGCCATCTGCCCTTAGGATGCCTTGCCTTAACTCCTGCATTCAGGCCCCAGCCACGCCTGTGAAAGGAATCCATGGTGATACCTTGCCATTTGCTTCTCATCTTTGCTATAACAAGACAGCATGAGGTGTCTTGCAATAGCACAAGTAGCAGCTGTCAGACTTTGCACTGGGATGCCTGTCACTGGTAGCGGTGGTAGGGATGGGGCTAGTGTGAGTTAACAGCTGGGGATAGGACTGAGGACAAGACCGTGCCCATTGCTTTTCAAAACTTTGGGAAGAGACAAAAAATATTCCCAAGGCCTGTCCCCAAACTCCAGATTTCTAGCCTCCCCCACCTACCTCCTCTTCCTGACCAGCTACCATCCTACTCACTCTCTCTCCTAAGCAGGCAATCACATAGTTATCTGCCTCACCACCTTCTCGGTTCCTACCCTTTCCCCCTGATGGGCCCTGCACGCTCCCTGCTGGCCTTACCAGTCGATCCAGATGATTTTGCCAAATGTCCACCCCTCTTTTTGTTGATGCTGTACTGTGCTGTGGCATATGGATCAGCCCAGCCCACAGAGAGGGAGAGAGTTCTGTGGTATGCCCAATGTGCTAGCTGGTATGGTGGGAAGGGAGCCACAGGAAGTGAAGGAGGGTAAGGGCCCTTGCAAGGGAGAAGAGCTGGGGATGGGGAGTTGAGAGGCCAGAGCCCAGCCATTCTTTACATTACCGGCCCACCTTGCTTAGCACAAGGCCAGGCTAGCCGAAGACGGTAATCCTTTCTGTCTCGTAGGCATGCTGCACCAGTACATTCTGACCCAGAACGAGCCCAGCCTCGGGGTTCAATTAGGCAATTCCATGCTGAGCTGCCTGAAAGGCTCAGTATTTTCCTCAGCTAGAAATGTCGGTAATTTCTCCTGTCTGTGTAACATGCTTGCTCCCCTGCTGTCATTACAGGCCACGGCCTCTGTTCTTGTGGGCGATGCGTCTGCGAGGACGGATGGTTTGGACAGTTGTGTCAACATCCAAGAAAGTGCAACATGACAGAAGATGAGAGCAAAAGCTTTTGTGACTCAGCCAATGGCGTATTGTGCTCGGGAAAAGGTAAGCAATACACGGGTAGCTGAGCTACCCTACATCACTGTTCTGGAAGCTTAAAATGTATGGACGTGGGTTGTTGTTTAGTAACACTTTCTTCCAAAGTCACCCATTGTTAGAGGGCTGTTATAACTGGCTTCATAATGCATCTAACCTTGTTATCACACCCACTGTGTCAAACACCCACTACATGCACATGCATTCAGCTGCTTTGATCTCCAGTGCCATTTGCTAACAGCATGGGATTTCACAGAGCTGTTTATTTGTCTGCGTCTGTCTTGGGTAGCTGTATTCTATGAACTCAATTATGCTATTTGATTGAGTATTGCTGAGTGACAGGGCTGCCTGTAGCACTGCGGTGATACTAAAGGAAAGCAGAGTCCCTCAGGTAGCACTTGGGGTACATGTTGAGCAGCAGCACTTGCTATTCCTGTCCAAAAGCCGCCCCCAGGGCTGTCTCCTCAGCCCCAGCCCATGCGAGGGGGAAGCAAGGTCTCGGCAATACCCACAATCTCCCTAAGACATTCCCCTCTTTTTTAAACGTATCTGCACGGTTGTGTTTTTTTTACGTCTCCAGCTGGAAGTCCTGGCTGCCTTCATATGAGTCCAGCTGTACAGGTTTGGCATAGAGAGAGAAATAATTACTAGATATTTCTGAAATATAAATAACTAAGCTCTTTCAGGGTATTCTCTCCCAGGCTAGAAACAAACAATTTATTTCACTGGAAAGAGGATTTCTGGCTTGCTACGGTATAAACCACCTACTTAAAATATATTACTTACACACACACACATTACAGCAGACCAATGGGGGAGATGAAACATGGTTCCAAGCCTACATCCTGTCTTCTTTGATGCTGGGGCTAGCAAGGGGTGGGGGGGAAGGTGGGAGACTGAACCAACCTCTGGCACAAGCTACAGCAGCCACCACCAATTTATGCCAACTGGAATGGTCTCCTGGGGACAAGGCTGCTGGCCCTGGATTGCTGGAGTGCAGTACTTTCTGACCTCACCTGCTCCTGTCATGCCACTACTCCTCCTGTAGCCTCCCCAGTGTGGACAGGGAGCAGGAGCAGCTGGAGTAAAGCTGGCTGCGGGGTTCCTTTGCATCAGGCAACTCCCTAGTTGCCTCTTTTGGGGAATTTTTAGTTGGTGCAAAAGGAATGTAACCAGAGCTAAAGAGCTGGCCCTCTCTCTTGATGTAACAACGGGTCAGAATTCTGTTCTTGGTTATTGTACTGGGCTCCCCTCACTGCTAGGGTGCCTCCTCCTGGCTGCTCTGAGGACTAGCTGCTCCCCTTTCTGTTGCTTGTTCGTGCACCCTGTTGCCCCCTCTCTCTCTGTGACTCAGGGAGCTCTCTCTTTGTTGCTTGGCCCTCTGGCCAGCTCGCTGTGTGTTTTCCCCTTCCAGGGGTTATCAAAATCTCTCCGTCCAAAATGGCAGTCTTCTCCCCCACTGTCCTGATGGTGCCAATTCCCCAGTGGCTGGTAGGGAAACCTGGGCCCACCTTCTACTCTGGGTTCCACCTTCAGCCAATGTCTGCAACATCTCAATTTGCTGCTGTTTCAGAGCCATTTCCTACTCCACTTCTCTCAGGCTTTCGCTCCACCACCTTCTGGGTAAACCCTGTCTTCAGGGCTGGATCCCTGGAGGTATCTACTGTCCCCGGGGTTTCCTTCCTTCCCACTGTAGCACCCAGAGCATGGCTGCAGACTCCCTCACTGCAGTTCTGCTCTGCTACCAACTTCCTGGCTTTATACCAGCTGTTCCTGTTCCTTCTCAGCAGGGCTCCATCATCACTCTGGGGTTACTTAGGACACCTAATTCCCCTCAGTTGAGGCCTATTCATGTAATTGGCCCATTCCTAAGCTAGTGTGGGATGAACACCCCATCACAGTTATACTGTTTATTTTCCCCTCAACAGGCCCAATACTGCAGCAAATGAGGAAATTCCACCCATAGGCAAAATGCTGAAGGAGGAAATGACACAATTTCACCATTGTTTTGATCAAACATAGCTGTCTTTACCTTGAAACGTGTACAGGAGAGCAATGAGCTTTGGGATTTACTCCATTTTAACCAAAGACTAAAATTCTTCTCTGCACAGGTGTGGTCTCAGGGTGATTGTTATTGTAAATAGTTAGAGGTGAACTGAAATGATTAAAACAAGCCAGCAAGTGATTTACAATCCTAAATAAGTGTAAACAAAAAAAAATTGTAATTTTAAAGGCAAAATAGTTGAACAGCTATTCCTCATTGTAAAGCTGTGATTCCCAAGCCCCGTCTCCTGCTCTGAGAACACCTTAGCCAGACCACACAGTCTGACCCTACAGCTTGAACTTGTTAGTTTGGGGCCAGATCTTCACATCTTGCCAAGCTGCATTTGGCACAGAACCAAGGGATGGAAAGACGAGCTGGTATAAAGCCACCTTTGACCACCCTGATGCTGGGGCTGGCCAGGATCTGTCTTGTCTCCCATGTAAGTTGGAGACGCCTGAAGGTAAGTTATACCTAGCTGACTATGGCCAAAATTTTCAAATCCAATTACCTAAACTAAGGCTTTTAAATTGCTATTTAGGCAACAATGGTGAAATATTTTTTTCAAAAGCAGTTTTGATTTAAGAGTACAACTCCCATTGACAGATTGAACTATGTCTACACATAAAACTTATACCACTTTAGCTATACTGGTATAGTTAAAACAGGACAATCCTGCTAGTGTGGATGTAGTCATAAGGGTGCTTATACTGGTGTAGCTTATTCCTTTATGGGATGGGGAATAACTAAACTGGTATTGCCAGTAAAACTGTGTCCACATTAGGGCTTTTGCTGGCATAACTATATCAGTAAAAATACAATCAAAAAAGTCACCCACCACCCGCAATGGAAATAATTCTACTAGTAGGTAAAGCTTGTGAGTGTAGACCAGGGCATAGGCACTTCTGAAAATTGCCCCCTGCATGCCTAAACATGGATTTGGGACCTTACCCTTAGGCACACAGGTTTGTAAATACTGTCTGTAGCTAGAGTGAATGGCAGGGTCCAGAAGTCCTAATGGAAGGCCAAACCTTGAGCCAGTTCTTTACATCCCAGTGCTGTTGTTTGTGAAATAACTGGCTTGTCAATAGTCCATGCACTAGTGAGTACCTAGCTTCCTGGCTATTAAATCTTTGCAGGAATTATGGCCAAGATTTTTCAAAAGTGACAACTGATTTAAGGGTGCCTCAGTGTTTGGATGTCAACTTGCGATACTAGTTTTCACAGGGTGACTGCTCAGTACTTGTTGAAAATGAGGCCCCTTTAACATAAACCAAGCGTATAATAGACACCGAGAGTTACTAGTCACTTTTCAAAATCTTGGCTCACCGCCTGTAGTAAATATTCTCACTAGTGAAAACAGAAACACCCACCATGCTGCTGCTGCTTCAGAAGTAGCTGGAGGGCAGCAGATGGTTGTTGTGACGATGCTGGACTCAGGTTAGTCAGTGAGACAAAAAGGATCTGGCCAGAATTACAAGAAAACGATCCTAACTAATTAGACTATTTTTAATTAAAGTGAGGAGGCTCCCAAGGCAGGAAAGAAAGAGATTTTGTAACATACGGATACATTATGGAACCTGATTTTTTTTAAGTTCCTTTTACACGTTACATTTATTGTGTCATCTACAAAATACCTTTAATAAGCCTGGGGTAGCTGTGAGTTACAATACTCTGCTTTCTTCTTAATGTTTCTTGCTAAAATTCACATTGTGTTTGGCTCTTCTTGGCATCAGCACGTGTAGCTGTTGGTGCTTTGTAGCTGATTTGGAAATAGAAACACCTGGCTTAAATCAATTTCAAATATAGAATGAAATATAAGATTGGCCAGTACAGTGATCTTGAAATTCTCTTACTGGATGTGCTTTCCTCCATTGCCTCTTCATGCACTTAATATTTTACCCAGGAAAGGAAAGTTAGTATTTCCCTATTTGCATAGCTTAATAGGCAGCATGTTAATAAATGACAGAGAAATACATGCTAAAGCAAGGGAGGGCAAACTTTTTGGTCGGAGGGATGCATCCGATTTCCAAAATTGTGTGGAGGGCCGGTTAGGGGAGGCTGTGCCTCCCCAAACAGCCAGGCGTGGCCCGCCCCCCCCCCCCCCCCCCCCCCCTGCTCCCCCCCCCCTGATGCCCCCCCCGGGACTCCTGCCCCATCCACTCCCCCCGCTCCCTGTCCCCTAACAGCCCCCCCGGGACTCCTGCCCCATCCAACCTTCTCTGTTCCCTGTCTCCTGACAGCCCCCGGAACCCCTACCGACTGCCCCCCGCCGCCCCATCCAACCCCCTCTCTCCTTCCTGACTGCCCCCCCAGGACCCCTGCCCCATCCAACCACCCCTTCTCCCTGTCCCCTGACCGCCCCCGGAACCCTTCCCTCCTGACTGCCCCCCGCTGCCCCATCCAACCCCCTCTCTCCTTCCTGACTGCCCCCCCGAGACCTCTGCCCCCATTCAATCCCCCTGTTCCCCACCCTCTGACCGTCCCAACCCCTATCCACACCCCTGGCCCCTGGCCACCACCCCGAACTCCCTTGCCCTCTATTCAACCCCCCCACTCCCTGCCCCCTTACCACGCTGCCTGGAGCACCGGTGGCTGGCGGTGCTACAGCCGCGCTACCCAGAGCACCAGGACAGGCAGCCATGTCACCCGGCTGGAGCCAGCCATGTCACTGCACAGCACAGAGCACTGGGTCAGGCCACAGCTCTGCAGCTGTGCTGCCCCGCCCCAGGAGCTCGCAGCCCCGCCACCCAGAGCATTGCGCTGGCGGTGGGGCGAGCTGAGGCTGTGTGGGAGGGGGAACAGCAGGGGAGGGCCCAGGGGACAGCCTCCCAGGGCAGGAGCTCAGGGGCCAGGCAGGAGGGTCCTGCAGGCCACCATAGTTTGCCCACCTCTGCTCAAGTCTCTGTTCCCAAGTATAAGTCCTTTATTTGTATATTACAATATGTTATAGTTTAAGACAACCTATCCCTACAATAATGCAGTAAATTAACTCTGCTCAACCTACAGTAAATCAGTGAATGTTACATTTTTAAAGAGGGTCAGTACCTGTGCTACTTTGATGTTTTTAATGAATAGAAATAGATTCAACTGATAAATAGTACAGGGTTTGTTGTGGCGATTTTTCTGGGGAATGTTCAGTTGATTGACACAGCTCAAAATTTAAAGGAAAGTTTCCACTTTGAGTTTTGGCTGTGGGCCTGAGCAAAAGCCCTTTGAACTTAATGGAAAGATGCAAAATGTTGTGGGCTTTAGATCAGGCCCTGCATAGATTTCTGTGAATTAAATATCTTTGTACATTCTCTGGGGCTGGATCATCATGTGTTTCTCTGTTTTGTACAGCACTGAACACGTTGATGGCTCCCTACTGTAATAAAGGAAAGCCTCTTGAAAAGGGGGATAGAGTGGGATTTTACAAAAGTGTCCAAATGACTTAGGAGCATATCCTATTGAAAGTCAATGTACTCTGCACTCCTAAGGCACTTAGGCTTTTTGAAAATCCAACCCGTAGTGATCCAAAACAAATGGAAAGAAAAGGCCAGAGAGCAGCAAGGTGCTATGTGTGTGCCTTAAACACTACGGGCCATTTTTCATCCCGATGCAATTTTATTGACTTCAATAAGGTTGGACCAGGCATGATTTTGACTCATCTAGCCACAAAGCAGAACAGCTCCTGGGAAGAAGAGTAGCCTTGATTGTGGTGCTCTGGCACAAAAGCGAAACCTCTAAATTTGAGTCCTGAATAAATAAAAGAAGCAAAATCAAGGCATTACATAGAACACCACTTCATACTCAGGCTGACCTCTAAAGGATCATTTTATTCAATAAGCTTTTAGCTTGATGATCTTCTTTTAGACAATAGCTTGTTAGATGGCAATTGTGCCTGTGTCTGAGATGTTGTATCCCAGACTGAAAAGTGCTAGTGCCCGATGATTGCAAGTAATAATCTTTGTGATTTCAGGTTCCTGTCACTGTGGAAAGTGCATCTGTTCCCCCCAGGAATGGTACATTTCAGGGGAATTTTGTGAATGTGATGACAGAGACTGCGACAAACATGATGGTCTCATTTGCACAGGTGCAGTACTGACTAATCCTTAATTGCTCTGAGAAGCAGACTGTGCATAAATGCAAATTGAAGTTAGACAAAACCCAGCAAGTTCTCTTTGTCCATTGATGGAAAGGAGGACTTTCCTATTATTAAAATCACTTTAGCTGTTAAGAGAGTGTTGCTTTATGTTGTGATGAATAATCAATTTAACACTTTGCAAGGAAAATTGAAATCCAAAGTATGAATACCAATAATTAAATCACTTGTGAAATTCATCCAAAAAGTAAAATGCTTTTGTCTACCACCTGTTCCTGTACGGAAATGAACATGTATGAGAAGGTAGCGATTCAGTGGTTTCTGTTGCTATCACCATCTTTACTTCATTTTCTATGATGAATGTATGTAATGAATTCAGAAACCATTTAGTTTAATAATCCTTGGTAATGCAGCAGGAGCAGGTGCTTATATTATGATGAGGGGAATAGTCATGTTTTTTTCATAGACTTCCCTGGCATCAAGACAACTCTCACCGGGATGCTGAGATGCCTGACAGTATTTTTTATGACATGTTGGATGCTGACTAAAGTCTTTTGCACCTATCTCAGGGTTTAGATGGCAGATGCAAAGGGAAATGGGTAGACTGCCAACACTTGCTTTTAACAGAGATGGGAGAAAAATCTAGTGACAAGCAGGAACATGTGATCTGTTTGATTAACTTGCTGTGTGTTCCATGATGAAAATCATAGAGCAGTGGTTCTCAAACTAGGGCCACCATTTGTTCAGGGAAAGCCCCTGGCGGGCCGGGCCGGTTTGTTTACCTGCCGAGTCCGGGTGGCCAGCACGTCCCTCGGGCCGCACTGCTTCCTGCAGCCCCCATTGGCCTGGAGCGGCGAACTGCGACCAGTGGGAGTCACGATCGGCTGAACCTGCGGACGCGGCAGGTAAACAAACTGGCCCGGCCCGCCAGGTGCTTTCCCTAAACAAGCGGCAGCCCTAGTTTGAGAACCACTGTCGTAGAGGACAATCTCTGTATCTTTCCATCTAGAAAAATCTTTGCTTAGCAATGTTCTTCTATTAGCCAATGGATACAGAGGTGGCAGAAGACAGAACTATGTGTCTGCTGAAACAAAGAATAGGAGGAAGGGTATCAGAGCATGAAAGATGGAGTCATGAGTTTCAGGTTCTATTCACAAATCTGCAACTGATTACTTGGCTGACTAAATTTCCAAAAGCGTTCACTGTGTTTGAGTGCCTGGGGCCTGATTTTCCACCACTCCACTTGAGTTTGTCACCCGCATGTGATGGAGGGGTTTGAAAATATTGGTCTTAACCTCTCTGTGCCTTAGTTTCTCCATCTGCAAAATGGGGATAATACCCTGTCACACAGAGATTTCATGAGACTATTTTTTGTCAAACACTTTGAGCTCCTCAGCTGAAAAAGGTGCTTTTCAATTTCAAAGGTTTATTCATAATACTATTCTCTTTGCAACAAATTCTCTTTAGCTAAAATAGTTCTAGTTTTTCCTTACATCTTGAAGTATAGTGGGAACACTAAGACAGCATAGAAACAGCTTGGGTCCAAATCATGATGGCATAATTACAATATTTATTATTCTGCTGATGGCATTGCTGTAAAGATGCCATTAATTGTTTGAAAATGTATGGTTTTGGTGGCTGCTTAATCAAATGTAAAGTGCTCTCTTAACCAAAAATATGTAAAGGGACAATAAAAATGTTTTATTATGGCTTGTTTCTTCCCATAACAACACAGTTTAATGCAGTACATTTCAATTATGGTAATTATCCCCTGTTTATTTTGTTCTAGGCAATGGTGTATGTAGCTGTGGAAACTGTGAATGCTGGGAAGGATGGAATGGGAATGCTTGTGAAATCTGGCTTGGGACAGAATACCCTTAATCATAACATGGAGCATCCAGGACTGAGGGGTTTGGTTTGGTTTTTTAGGCTGCTAGAACAATTAAATGCAAGGCAAACCACATAGAATAACCACCAGAAATATTCAAGTAGACCAATGTGAGTTTCTGTATTTCATAACAACCAACTGCAGGTCTACTCCTGCTCCTATTGAATTCATTTGCAACACTCACATTGACTTCAGTGGGACTGGGATTGGCCTTAAGGTTGAATTCCTGGCTTCACTGAAGTGACACAAGAAAGCTTTATTGCATAGTTCAGCTTGTTGTCAAATCTCGACACCATTACATAATGAAATGGCGTTCATATAAAAGAGTAGAGCTGGATGGATATTTGTCAAAAAATTTATCTGATGCCATTTCTGGTGTCTGTCAAATATATTATTATTTGGCTGTGTTTTTCCCTTCCAATTCTGATTCTTTTCCAGCTCCAATAACAAGAGAAGCTGTAAATTAATTATTTTATTTTTTGTCAGAGATCTGCAGTTGTATAACTGAGATCCAAATACCTAAACAACCCCAGAGAGTAGGTCAATGACCCAAATTATAAAACCAGACCTCACTGCTAGAACAGAGAAATTAAAAAAAATCTTGATTTCTGTGGTTACAATATCATTAAGCTGGTTATCTAGTCTTCATACTACACTCTCAAATACATAACCTGTAGGGTGAGAATTTTTTTAAAAAATCCAGATAAATGAGTTGCTATATTTAATACATATCTTATAACTTGTATGTACTTTTATCATAGTGTTATGTATGTACACTTACCTAGTCATCTTAAAAAGAAAAGCACATGAAAATGTATTAGATAACTTTTAGGATGCCAATTCTGTATGCTATTAGGACTCACTGTTTTGGAACAGATTACACTGTCACACACGATATTCATTGAATCTTACTACTTTTATAGAAGCTGGGAGTCTGACCATCAGCTGAATTAGGTACACTGTATAGCAACTGCTGTCAATGAAAGATGTTCAGATGATGGAAACAAAATAATTTAATTGCAGATTTCAAACAGTAAATACAAACAGTGCAGTGGTATGAACAAAATTTTTATTTCTTATCAATGGTGAAATGCTGCTCAGTGTGAAATTCACATTGAATTATGAAAAATGCACAACTATATTGGGACTTCCCTAAGTTATTTACATTTGAATCTTTTCCCCCCAACTTGTAGGTTTGGCAGCCCTTTAATTCTTCAGAGCGAAAAAATATGTACATTTTCTTTTCAAAAGTGATTACATATTGTGAAATTTGATTACATCACAAAAAATATCAAATTTTGATATTGTTATGTTGTGATTTAGGTGTCAAGTTTCAGGCTTTTAGTTTGATACAAGACTAAGAAATAAGGAACCTGTGTATTAATTGAAAAAAGGTATTTCCATTATTACACTAGAAATTTGTTTTCTTATAGAAAGGACATTGATTATTTAAGTTGGAAAATACAACAGTACAGAACATGTAACAGTTATAGTGTGAAAACTTTAAGTGCGCTTATTGAAAGGTTTTGAACAATCATTTCCCCCCCGTTTAGCTTGCTCTTGCTCTTACCGCATTTTCTTTAAATGTGTAGCTTTAAACATAAATATATAGCTTTTCAAAGCCCATGTTCTCAGGGAGACATAATCCAGTCACCTCTAAATGTCTGTGCATAACTTATTAATGGGAGTTCTGCACATTCACAGAGACAACTATACCCAAAAGCTGCTACTGCCTCTCTTTAGATAACCAAAATATCAGGCAGAGTTCTAAAATGTATTGATACAGCATAAACAAACTTTGAAGTAAAACAAGTTTTGAAATCACATCTTATATTTTATGGTTGTAACCGTTAAAATTGTACAGAGCTTAGGTATTTCAATGTGTCATTTTAACATTTGCCAACGCTAGTCTTTGACTGGTGAACACAAGCTTGTTGGTTTTATTTATATATAAATTAACACAGACCTGAAGTCTCTTATAGTAATAAATGTCTTACAGGTGTGGGTACTTCTGAGTCAATGAAAGAAAAAAGGAAATCAAGCTTCATTATGTCTCACATTTATGTACAGTACTTTGTACAGCTAACAAAATAGAAAATCAATGTTGTTTAGATTGAATAGATACTTGGGATCATTTAAACAAACTAGCAAACAAAGATATAAATACTGTATCTTACCTATGATATTTCAGGCAGCCACATTCCTAGACTGGAAAATGATTCTCTGTAAGGCCATAAATTGCTGGATATCTGCGTGTCATGTAATTTTTGATATATTTTATTTTACTTTGTGATTTTGTTTGTTTTCCTTTTAAGTTTGTAAACTAAAATCATAGAAGTGATTCTAATTTCTAGTAAGACAAACTTTTAAACATTTCCACAACAGGTTTGTTTTTTAATTTTCAAAGCTACTGTGGTGGATTAATATAGCCTTTTTTAAAAAAAATGTTTTAAAATTCTCTGACAAAGCTAGGGCCTGGGATTAAGTAAAATATAAATGATCAAAGCAAAACTGTGCTATAAGCCATATAGTATTTACCAAGACTGCTCAAAATGTAATGGATATCTATTTTCTTTTCCATTTTTTATTCTTTTTTGTGTGTGTGTGGCTTGAACATCTTTTTTTCCCATACTGAGGAAACCAGTGATATGAGTCTCAGTACATCTTCTATGCAGCTTATTCCCTTGCTATAAAAATAAGACTTGAAGATAAATATTATTGTTCCATGTATGGGAAAATACTGTCTGCCTAAATTGTAAAAGTAAAAAGAGGTGTGAGGGAGTGAAACGTATTTCCCATCTAATTCACATATACTAATTATGTCACTGCTTCCAGGTCTTGGGCAAACAGTAATTCCAGAACGAGAAAACTGGTTAGATAAGTGGGGAGTTTGATACTGGACACAAATACAGTTCTCCATTCTTGTGATAAAAAGGGCACCATCTGAAAAGTGCTAAGTACTACTTCTGAGCACTCCCAGCACTTTGCAGGATTGTGGCCACTCTATATAACATCTTCTCGGGTTTCAGACATCAACTTGCTGTTCACTGTCGTGCTTGTATCAATGATTTAGCAAAGGGAAAGGATTACTGGGAGGGTAAAGGGTCAAGCTCTCTTTCAGAGGCATGTAGCTAGAGATTTAATCATGTATCTGGCTTGGTGCTTTTGATGCACTGCCCTCCTCCTTCCTGGAATGGCGACTCACTTTACATCTAAATTATATTTCACACTATAGTCTGGGGATGAATAAAGCTAAGTTGAATATTTCTATGACTAGGCTCTAGAACAAAGATTTTATTACATTTAAAAAAATAAATCATCGCATTTGCATTAGACATCCTGAAAAAATCTTGAAATGTATTGCACAGATCACAAATTTATCCAAAGGGGCATTTAGCAACACTATAATAGCTTGACTATGTCTAATTTTCCTACTTTTTCTAACCTGAATGGAGTTGAATATTTCTACTTTGTACCATAGAACAGATGGATCAACAAGACACACCTTTAATGCATGGGTCAAACGCTTTGTCTACTCGATTGACTGCTATAACATTACAGCAGCAGAGATTTTGTCCCTCTGTGTGTAACCAGTTATGAGCTTTACAAGATTCTTTCAGGTAAATACATTGTGAAAGAAGGTCCTTTTATTCTTTTGTGGGTTATTTTTGTTATACAAATCATATGGATGAAAAAAATGACAATACATAAACATGTTGATTTGAGCATTGCTTAAAGAATAGGAGAAGAAGCAAAAGAGGTGTTAAGTGAGCGACAAAGTGATCTTTCTTTAGAAGCTACTATAGTTTTTCATAAACATGACCAAGCTGGTAAGGGTTCATGTGAATCTAGAAAACACTTTTTAATAGTGCTTTGTTCAATTTGTACATATCTACCTAAGAACTGGATTTTGTGTAGGTGTATGCGTGACTGCTATTTTACCAAAATTGTTGCTGAAATAAAAATGAACTTTTTGTTTTAGAGGGAAAATGAAAAGATAATGCCCATCCGCATGATTAATATACCTGTGCATTAGTGAGCTAGTGAAGAGATTGGGATTTCTTTTTTGGACCACTGTGCAAACCAGGCTCTCTGGGATTAAATAAAAAGAAAGGAAGGAGCAATACAAAACACAGCATGCAAAAGGTCTGGCATACTGTAGAGTCGCATACATTGCTGTACATGGAAAATACAAAACACAAAATCTGTAAATATAAATTAATTCATCAGGTTTACTATACAGTACTTTAGTTGTAACAGACAGTTGAAAATAGTTTTCACTTAACAGCAAAATTAATTTTAGAGGGAACAAAATGGTGACGTCTTATCCTGGAAAACAGCAGGAGAGGTAATATATCACGGAGCGAAAATTGTCTTTGGCATGGTAAAGGGGGAGAATTGAGTTTGCCAACCTATCTACATGGTTTCACTACATTGTGGCCAGTGCAATGTTATTTTGCACATTCTGCTTGTTAGATAAAGTGGTTTTGTTTTTCAATATGCCTTCATATAAATATTTTATTCAATATGTTGCCTCTGTGTATACAACAAATGATAATAAACACAAACTGTACAATGCAAACAAACTCTTTGCATATATGTATGTAAATTTAGTAATACATACCAACAGTTCTTGATACGCATAGCCTACTACATGCAGTTCATCATTGCCATCCTCTTCCCATGCAACAGATGAGACAAGAGACAAAATTAAAGGCGTAACCAAAGCACAAATAACAAAGACCCCTGTGCTCTACGTTTAAACAGACTTTAGAAGAAATTGTTTGAAGACATCCATTCACAGGATTAAACACCCTTACAGACAACCCATGTAAACAAAAATAAAACTGGTGATACATTTACAGTACATACTAGTCATTTACAAAAATAAATTCAGCCTTAATTGTAACTAGTCAACTGGTTGGCAGAGAAATAGCTGCCTGAGATGTAGGGTTTAATGTTGAAAATGGTAATGTATATGGCCTTGGGACACCAGTCCCAGAGAGCGGAAATTCAAAGGACCAGCTTGTGCTCTCTACATCCTCAGTGCATACCTCAGGCAGTTCTATGGCACTGTCTCACCCTCCGGACCCTGCAGAGCCACCTCTGTGCAGTCCAGGGTCCAAGTTGGGCAGGCTGGAGACTGAGTGGGACAGGGCAAGAATGCACATAGGCTCCCTGTGAACATTAGACACAAAAGATAATGCAGC